AGTCCGTCCCCCCCAGTCAAAAATCCGTGGCGGCGCCCCTGGAGAGGCCCAATGAGCAGAGACCTTTCTCATGTCATGCCCATTGGTAAGAATGTCGCCAGCTTGCTCCTGGGAGATGTCCATTCTTACCGCTATCTGATGAGCTCACAGTCTTGGATCCAGCATCCACACCCCTAGAGCAGGGTCAATGTTTTCGGATTTTGTCACATTCTACGGCGTTTTTGATATTTTTTCATTTTGGACGCTGTTCCAGGTTCCTGCCCTGCTTGAAATTAGCAGCTCAAACCTTAACAGTGACATATGATGGGCCACAACCAATAAGTTTAATTTCAGGTCCTTTTTAATTTCAGATGAAGGCATGGCTTTGAAATCGCAATACTTTATAAAAGTTCAATTCTCGATTTTCTCCCTTTTCACCGAACGCGTAATCTTCTTCACTTTAACGGGCTCTAAAAACGAAACGAAAAGGACTAGTACTTCAAAACTTGGTGTACACACCTAAAAATGAGTTTGCCATAAAATGCTGGGATGAAAACCACCCCTTTCTTGGCTCGTTTTTCCGCCATTCCGATGGCGCAAAAAGTGTCCAAAACCCCGTTGACTTAACATGGGGAAAATGGAATCGCACGTGCCACGTGCCACGAGGTTTTAAGCGAGTAGCGACCGGTGCCATAAGGTAGATCGCCTCCGGGAGCCCATACACTGAACTTTTTACGAAGATTGTACATTTCGTCTAGGCTGCGACCAAGATGTCTCGATTCGCTGCCAGACTTGCAAAACATAGAGATGTCCAAAACAAAACAATGGAGATGTCCATTCTTACCGCTATCTGATGAGCTCACAGTCTTGGATCCAGCATCCACACCCCTAGAGCAGGGTCAATGTTTTCGGATTTTGTCACATTCTACGGCGTTTTTGATATTTTTTCATTTTGGACGCTGTTCCAGGTTCCTGCCCTGCTTGAAATTAGCAGCTCAAACCTTAACAGTGACATATGATGGGCCACAACCAATAAGTTTAATTTCAGGTCCTTTTTAATTTCAGATGAAGGCATGGCTTTGAAATCGCAATACTTTATAAAAGTTCAATTCTCGATTTATCTCCCTTTTCACCGAACGCGTAATCTTCTTCACTTTAACGGGCTCTAAAAACGAAACGAAAAGGACTAGTACTTCAAAACTTGGTGTACACACCTAAAAATGAGTTTGCCATAAAATGCTGGGATGAAAACCACCCCTTTCTTGGCTCGTTTTTCCGCCATTCCCGATGGCGCAAAAAGTGTCCAAAACCCCGTTGACTTAACATGGGGAAAATGGAATCGCACGTGCCACGTGCCACGAGGTTTTAAGCGAGTAGCGACCGGTGCCATAAGGTAGATCGCCTCCGGGAGCCCATACACTGAACTTTTTACGAAGATTGTACATTTCGTCTAGGCTGCGACCAAGATGTCTCGATTATAAAAATTTAAGAAAATTTATAAAATTTATAAAATAGTTGTACAGTTGTACGAAATGTACAATCTTCGTAAAAAGTTCAGTGTATGGGCTCCCGGAGGCGATCTACCTTATGGCACCGGTCGCTACTCGCTTAAAACCTCGTGGCACGTGGCACGTGCGATTCCATTTTCCCCATGTTAAGTCAACGGGGTTTTGGACACTTTTTGCGCCATCGGGAATGGCGGAAAAACGAGCCAAGAAAGGGGTGGTTTTCATCCCAGCATTTTATGGCAAACTCATTTTTAGGTGTGTACACCAAGTTTTGAAGTACTAGTCCTTTTCGTTTCTTAACCCTATTCCTGGCGGGGGGGGGGCCTCAGGAGCCCCCCCCTGAGGTTTTTTGGTTATATCTCCCAAACGCGTTGAGCTAGGAAGCTCAAATTTTCTGACTTTTCCTAAAAGGCTTCTACGCAACATGTCTGAAAATTTTGAGTTGATCTGACCTCAGGTCAGGTCACCAGAGGCGGTTTGGTGACGCTACCTCAGAAAAGTTTGCAATCACGCCAGAGCTAGAGTTTTTGACCGATCAATTTCTTCTCTTCAGGGTTTAGTTAGGGTACCAATATGTGCAATTTGTATATCTCGGAATTTTGATATCGGTGACCTAAGGTCAGGTCAATTTCGCGACCTCCCCATTATAAGTCAATGGGGGAAAAATCAACTCCCTGTTTTTACCACTAAAACGGGTCGGAATGGCCCCATATACCATACATGACTTCATATACGATCAACCTTCACTACCTTGAGGTCTGTTTTGCTGTTGGGCAGCTGTGAGGTCATGTGACGTCATCAAAGGTCACCAAAGGTTTTTGGCCAATAACTCCGTACAGGAACAAGATACAGACGCGTGGATGGTCTCATTGTGTTCAGCTCGTCAAGACGCATCGAATGATATACATGATGACCTCGAGGTCACGTGACCTGAGGTCAACCTTTGACCTTGACCTTTCGAGGTCAACATATATATCATTCGATGCGGATTGACGAGAGGATCACGATGATGCCCTTAGTTTGTTCCTATCTTGACTAATTCGAAAGTTATTCGAGAAAAACTCTCTCCATATCTAGTGCCGCCATTTTGACTTTTTCGACCCCTGTGACGTCATCTTTGACCTGACCTGAAAATGACCTTAGTAAAAATTGTAGATCTTGGCCGTGCGTATCCGATGCCGTTTACCGCTTGTCGCTATCTTGCTTCGTTCTCGAGATCTCAGGGGGGGGCCGAATCGGCCCCCCCCCCGCCAGTTTCTTGTCCCGGCGGAGCCCGCCAGGAATAGGGTTAAATTTTATAAATTTTTATAAAATTTTTTATAAAACTATAAAATAGTTTTATAATAAACCTAAAAATAGTTGCAAAATGTGTGACCAAATTTTCATGTGCCACCTTTGAAAGATTTCCCATTTTATTTTTCCTAGGATAAGAAGCTTCTGTTTCTACCTAATATCGCAAAAAAAATCAAAAATGGGCCTGGAATAGTGCCTTTTTCGCCTAAAAGTTTATCGGTTTTTCGATATGTATAACAACTGTAGTGGGCTGACCTGTAAACAGGCGTCGGCAACAATCGCGAATGCGGCGCACATGTGACAATAAGCAAAGGTCATTATAGAGTTACGACGTACGGGAATGAGTTATCAGCTGTCTAATCGTAGACAACACAATGTCGAGCCGTAAACTGTAAGCCTGTATTGGTATTGTTTCTTTTATTTGGCTGTCGAACATTATTTATGGTTTGAAATATGATTTTATGTAAAATAATTGATATGAAAAAGCCATCTCTTTAGTTATGACCCCATTTCACCATACGCAAGTGGCAGAAATGACAATGATCAGCTGACACATTTTTCTTGGCCGAAGTCAGAGCGCGCGGCCCGACGCACCACCACCGCACTACAAAGTATGAGCAGAAGCCGCGCCCAAAGCCAGGGCCCCGGTAACGTGAGGTAGCCGAGTCGGGGCGGCGTGCGCTGACCCAAGCCAGGGCCGCAGCTTTGGGCGCGGTCTACCGCATCCCCGCGGGCAGCCCCGGGCTATCACATGACACCGGGAGGACGCGCGGCCCCGGCTTGGGTCAGCGCACGCTGCCCCGACTCGGCTGCTTCACGTTACCGGGGCCCTGGCTTTGGACGCGGTCTACCGCACCACCTAACAGGCGTGTTCGAAACCGCAGGAGATGATGATGAACGGGTTTATCGAAACTTGATTGGATGAGCATATCGGTAATAGCGATTTCAGTGTGTGCATTTATTGTTCATAGTGGTGTGAAATGTGGTTGGGGTACGACCGACAACCCGTCGGGGCGAATTTCGCACTGGGGTACTCAAAATTTGAAGAATTTAAGACGTTTCCATGAGTTTTGAAGGTATGGATAAGTTCTAAAAATCCGGTTCTCCTTATCTGGGCCATTAACTCCATACGGTCCAGGAAAGCTGGCACACTACCTTTAACCTGCGTCACCTGTAACTGTGTTAGGCTTAAAACTTTTCATTCACCCCACGTATAGTACCTACTGATTGTATTGTATAGTATAATGTATTATATTGCATACTGTCTGGAAGAGACACCACGCTGGAGGGCCTCTACTCGCACCAGTTTATATATCGGGTGAAAGCGAAGCTCAGTGATTAACCGCATCGCGACAGCTTTGGGCAATAGTTACCAGATTGATATGATGTTGCCTGAATATTTGGTCATTCGATATTTCACTCTCGCTAGGCTCTCGGAAGGACATCACTACTCCGCCCCTACCCCTTCCACGCCCTAGTGTCCAAGTCCAAATCGTCTATGACAGGACAGGCTCCGGATGTCCGCCCCTACAACATGCCCCCCCCCTCACCCGACACCGCCGGCGGCACCGAGATGCCGACGGCACCGAGGCGCCAAGCATGCCGACAGCACCGACGATGCCAGTGGCGGCGCCCGGCAGTCGGTGGGCCGTCCGGCGGCCCACCGACTGACGGCCCACCGACTGCCAGTCGATGAAACCAGCCCACGGGCGGAGCAGAGGCGGGAGCAGGAAACGGCGATCGAGGCAGTCCAGTCACATTGACAAGTTAAAACCGACCACCATGAGCATCGACGAAATAAAGATCACTTTGGTTATTGATTTGGGGACACCAGCGCGTCGCGTGACGTTGGGTCAACTCCGGTGGGCCCTCCCAAAGTACAAGATGCAGAGTCGCCCTTGCATCAGACTGCCCCGCCCCCTATTCAGGGAGGACACTATGAGCGAAGCCACCGCAACGGAACCAATCTGAAAGAACAAAATACAGATGTTTTACTGCACCGCCATCCATGCCAAGTTTTTCACTCCTGATCATTGACCCGACTGATCCAGTCTGCAAAACATGTCAATGTGTTTTTGGCGGCTTGCCTACCTCCACAATCGACAATGCATCTCTGTGCACCGAGCGCTTTCCCACACCGTGGTGACTGGTGGGCGAAGCAGCGCCCATTGCAGCTCCTCTCGTCCCACCCCTTATTCGAAATCACTTGCTCGAACTCACCTCGAGAGATCAGCTTATGCCGCGCACTTCCAAGCCTTCACAACAGCCGAAACAGCACTGATGCCACCATAGACAAAGGTTGAGGTCGCTAGTCACTACCGAGACCGACCGTTTCGACCCAGGAATGGAATTCTGATTATCACGCGCGCCACCTACAGCCCTCTAGAAGAGACTAGTTCATGAACTCTTCACAAGATGACGCCCGAAGTCCCAATCCTATCATTAGTGATTTATCGAGTCTCAGGGTATAAGAGTCGAGAACATGTTCCATTCCGGTTTGACTTCTATGCACAAGCACAGGAAGTTAACAACTTCCATAGATCATTACAATTCTTTTTTATTTTGCAACGCCAGTTGAAGTGAAAAGGTGTGAAAGTTGAAGCCGCTAAAAGCGATTGTCATTTACCTGATTGTTCTAGGAAGGTAAGAACACTGACTTAAAAAAGGTCATCAGACCAAATGTCGTGTTGTTGTGCTCCTCAACGCTCAAACCACGCTCAAACAACAGTCAATGTCTTAGGCATATTTCCTCATGCCTGATTTGCCAACGCATATACACCAGCATTTTAATTTAGCTGATGTTAATCTAAAAATGTTATTCATTTCCGACGCAAAAGTTTCAATGAAGCTATGTTCATACCACCATATTGAAATATCGCAGGCTGTGTTGTTGATCCCCGTCTCTACTTTTTGCCATCCACTAAAGGCCACTCTGGTGAAAAAAATGGGTGCGGTTATTTTTTCTCATCTTAGTTTGCTATTTTGGCGCGATTTTGACAATTTCTGGCGCATTCCACTTATTTACTTTAGCGGCCATAGGGCAATGGTTTACTAACGGGAGATGTGATGAATTACAGCAGCAATACTTGAAATATAAGGAAGAAGTGAAGCAATTATGATACCTATTATTTTTTATAATGACAGAAGGAACGTGGAAGAAAAAAACATTTTGTGCAGCATGTGAAAACAAGGAAATAGAATGAAAGAAGGGCTGCTACTTTTCATGCTCCCGAAACCAGCCATCTCATCATCATAGCATGGTAATGATAGTTAAAGTTTATGTTAAAAAAGAATAGAAGGAGCTGCTGCAAAGGTCTTTGTGATGCCTCAAATCTGTTAAGTCAGGCATGCTCTTACAGACTGAATGTTCAAGTTACGAGACCCCATCATACTCCAGTGGCTGCATGGTGCTTGAGCTTGTCAAATACTTAAATGTTTTGCTCAGAAATTGTTTGCTTTATTGGTTTCTTGAGTTTCACCAGATAAAGCTACAAGGTTGGCTAATTTGGTGTTAGTTATCCATATTAAAGTGCACTGTTTGTGACAAGATTATGGAAATTGTAACCTCAATAATGACAATTCATGCTGTCAAAGCTATGATATGTTGCCTTGAGTTTGATATCAGGCAAACATGGATTGAAACTGTTTTCTAAAAAAAAAACACTGCTTTTTAGTAACTTTCACCCCATAATTTGTATTTATTCAATCTCAGAATGGGAGCAAGGCTGAATCACAATTATCTTTTGGGAAATGCTCTACAAAACTGCATTGCTTTTATTTCTGTGGCATAATTTTGTACCTAATTCAAAGACTTTCTCTGGTGTAGTTTGTAAGATTGTTTGAACTTCTACTTTCTGACCTGCTTGGTGCCACTAAATCCTGCAACCTATTTGGCTTATTTACCCATCTCTCTTGCCATTCCTACATATTTCATGTCAGTCTATTGCATAAATATTGTGTAGTTAACATACACCATGATATACAAATGAATGGTACCTATATAAGCTCGATGTGGGTAAATGAGAACCAATGAACCTATGTTTTTTACAATGGTATAAAGTCCTCTTGTCACGGCCATGGATATCACAGAAGATTTTGCTGAACTGCGCAAGAGAATCCTGTGCAAGGAAATGTTTTGCATGATTTAGCTTAACAGCATAAATTTTATTTTCCCAGTTGCATTGGAGCTCTGCTGGAGTTTGCTGATGACAGGATGCTGAAGGGCTGAAGCTGGTAGCTCTGGCAGGAGTCCAGTGTCCACCAGCTCAAGATCCGACGCCGCCGCGTCGCCGCCGTGCGGCACTCCGCGGAGACGGGGACGGCGGTCATGATTGAAGACACCGCATTTCCCGCCTGGACTGTCCGGTCGGAGACTGGTAATCCCTCCGGTGAGCCGCACACCGTGGAGCTACTGCACCGCGCGTGTCCACCCGCAGCGCAGTGCCAGCAACGGTGCCGTGAGTGCGACATCTGCGTGCATATGACGCAGTGCGACTGTCACGACTCGCGGCTCAGTGTTCTGTCAGTGTGACAGTGCGGCTCGCGCTCGTTTTAGCGTGGTGCTCTGTTGTATATAACCACCTTGATGGAGACCTATGTGCTGCCGCTTGAGTTTCAGTGTACAGTTTTATGCATCAAACTAGCGTAAGTAAATGGCTGTCAGAGGTCAATTTGAAGCGCAATTAGTACCCATAACCCAGCTGGGTTGAGCGAGTCATGTGACTAGTCCCGATGAACGTACTGTTTCGATGTCGTCGGTCGTAGACTTTTGTAAACCATTCGTTTCGGAGCTCTGTGTTGTGTTGTTGGGGACCGCAGTTGTTTGAGCAGTTTGCTTTATGCGTCGTACGCTGACAGAACGCTGGTCGTACACAAGTCATGTGTTTCCTTTCGCCCCTAATGTGTTACTGCGGTACCTATGCAGTTGTAATGTGTCTCTATACACTAACTGGTCGCACTTGGTTGTGAAAATGACACTAGCTGGTCGCACTTGGTTTCAAACTGCGCTTGGAAGTCGTGCAATTTTATTTGCATTTTGCAATGCAATTTTATTGCCGTTACCGTATTGGTAGATTGAGATAGTGTCAGAAGTTGGCCATTTGATGCGTTGTCACTTGTGAGACGTTGTTGCCTTAGTACTGACGAATTGCTGGGCCGCGTTTGTGTTCCTGTTAAGAAACGGATCTCAATATAAGGTGATTCAGAGGTAGGAACCTGAATGCATTCGTTCAGACTTTTCATTTTATAGGGATGCACTGCTTCATGAGCAAGAACGAGCATGGCTCTGGTTGAGCGAAGCGCAATCGATATTTGTTATCGTGGTTGTAGACTGTGGCCACATTTACATCACTATTAAACTCCACGCACCAGCATTATTTAAACTGCTTGAACCTATACTTCATTTCGCTAAATTTCGGGGTCGTCAACCTACGGTCCGTGGCCGTTACGTTTGGCCAAAAACTAAATTTTATACATATTAACTGATTCATATGATCACAGCTTGATGCCCCGGACAATTTTTATTTGACTCACTGATAATGAATGTGTCCCAGTACCGCACAAACTGAGACTGAAACTGGACAACTCGCTTTTCGAGGTTCAAGTTCATTATCTTCAGATGTTATGGTATGGACTATGGTAAGCATTTAATGATCGAAGAAAATGGTCAGCGTTAGCAGTGCTAATCGGGTATTATGAGCTTTCAGCTATTTCAATATTTGTTTAGGCTATTATTCTTGTGGTATCTCCTGTCAATTTCACGCGGAACATACAGTATTATCTTATACAATCGCGGTAACTACATATTTTCTGCCGGTAGTACTGTTGTTATCATTGATTCGTAATATTTCACTACCAGCGTGGCTCGATTCACATTGTTATTATATTGGCATTCGAGATTTAAGAATGAAAATCTTTTAATGCATTCCAATTCCATCAAAATGCCAATATGCAAAAAAAAAGTTATAAAAATTGCAGCAGTTTTGTGAATCAAAAATAGCTGTAAAATAGGCCTGTATAACTTCAACAACAGTGCGCCGAGAAACGTCTAAAAACGCGTAAACAAAAACTAAGATGTAAAAAAATAACTGCACCCAAAAAAATGAGCGACTAAGAATAAAAATCACTGCATTGTTTGATTTTAATGTCATTTTGGCATGAGAAGAAAACATAAATTTTTCACTTGGCTATTCTACGTCATTTACTGTTAAGCAATTTTCGTGGTGTGAGCTTGGCTTTCAGTAAGCTAGGAGGCTAGGATCAATTTCAATAACTGTAGTGCTTTTCTACATATTGATATAATTTTCTAGCAAGACTGTCATTTCGCTCAATAAAACAGTGGAGTAATTCAAATTATTTTTCAGTCCTGCCAGTTTCATGCAAATACGTTATGTTTCTATAGGACACTTTTGATATGATTTTGTGCTAAAAGCTGGCAAATTTTTCCGGTTTCAGTTTCAGTTTCCACTGTTTTACAAAATTTGTGTCTGGCCACTTTGACTTTTTGTCAGATTTTTGTCAAATTTATAGGCCACCATGACTGGAAAGAATACTGAAGCTGGTGGAAGCCAGGCTGGGTCGAGCAGCTCCAATATGGTAAGTGAATTGGTAATGACTTCAAATTTTCTGGGTATATCCTCATCCTGTTTTTTACAAATGCAATTCCAGTTGGGGGAGGTTTGGTCAAAAGTTGTCATTTTTAGTACGTACCTACATGCTTTTTTTGTCACACGTGCCAAAAATGGCAACGATTCTGCTATTTTTGACCGATGAAGCTGATTTCACTCCTCAGCGAAAAAAATCACGATTTGGAAAGATAAGCATTGATTTTCGAAGAGAAGTGATAAAAATAGCTGATAGCATTGTCATTTTTGGGAACGACGGTGAAAACAGGGCGCCTGGGGCGATTTGATCAAGGCTCGTGAAATTAACACGTGACATTTAGCATATTGTAGAAGGCCCACGGAGGGGGAGAAGTTCCAAATGTCATGTGACTAATTTGCCCTCCGGCGCCCTGTTTTCACCAGCGTCCATTTTTGGCACATGGTTGCCAAAAATGGCATGTGCTAAAAATGACGGGGATTGACCAAACCTCCCCAGTCTCCTGACTGATTCTATATATACATTATTTTAGGTTTGTCACCATTAGTTTATCCAAGAGTGTTAAAAAACTGGAGGGGCATATACTCTAGAAAGGTCCCTCAAGATCCAAATTGCACTGCATTCTGCTGCTAATATGCTTTGCTGTGCAGTTTGAAATAAACATATACCATTTTCACTACCTATTTACTTGGTATTCCTGTAATGTGCTAAAATTGGTGAATCTTTTTCCAGTTCATGCACTGCAGCAATGGCAAATGCCTCAAATTTTTTTGATCATCCGGTGTTTGGACGCGTGATCTAGGCGTCCAAATCGATCAGGACCTCAAGTTTCGTGAACAAGCCGCTGCAGCGGTATCCAGAGCCTCCCAGATGCTCGCGGTGATTCACAAGTCCTTCGAACGCATCGACGCCACCACGCTACCGCTTCTGTATAAGACCCTGGTACGACCGCACCTCGAGTACTGCAACATCGTATGGGGCCCCTTCAATCGCGCTGACCAGCAAAAGGTGGAGCGTGTCCAGAGACGAGCAACGAAGATGATCCCATCACTGAGGAGCCTACCATATGACCAACGACTACGCTCGCTGAAACTCCCGTCTCTCTATTATCGAAGGCGCCGCGGCGACATGATTATGACGTACCAACTTTTTCATGGGGGTGTTGAGTGTTGACCTCGATCCTGAGTCATTCTTTGAGTTGGCTGACTCTTCTACAAGAGGGCACCCCTGGAAGCTGTTGAAGCCGAGAGCGTCTTCCCGATCGAGGCGAAATGCGTACAGCGTCCGGGTCGTCAATGACTGGAATGCTCTTCCTGCTCATGTGGTTGAAGCGCGATCCCTGAACGAATTCAAGTCCAGGCTCGACCGCCACTGGTCCCACCTCCTCTACACCATCCACTCCAATGACTGAGGCAGTGATATCGTCATGGAGCTCGATAAGTCAGAGTCCCACAGGCCTAAGGGCCTTCAAAATTCTCGTACATCGTAAGTAAGTAAGTTACCATGCTTTCTCCAATAAAAACAATATGCGTGCAGAATATGTTCAATGATTTCGGTTTTCAGACAGCTGTTGGTTTTTTTACCCTTAATAGGAACAGCATTGTATTGCATGCATATTTTTTACTCGTCCAGAAATCCACTTGACACCTGAATATGTGTGGTTAGAGGATTGAAACTTGAATTTATCTTTGGAGGAAAAAGTCAATGTAAAAAATGCTAGCCCAGTCTTTGCAACAACATTTTACTTAGGTGTGCTCTATAATAGGAACAAAAAAGATCTTAACCTCTTCCAGTAATATGTGACCTGCTGAGTACTGAGCTTATTTATTTCAATGATAGACCTGAAATATCTTGAATGTGCTATGTAGCTTCACATTGTGAAAGTTCCACTACCTTTCTCTTATCATTTTTTTGTTCCCTGAAAATGGCAAAATTATTTGTCCATAATTTTTTTGAGATAATGCCATTTTAGTGATGCCATGTCACACCATTTTTGTCTATCAACCCATTTATCTCATTTTAAAATCTTACAACATCTTTAGTTTTAAATGAAGCATAGCACAGCAACAATAATTGTGGTTACTGTCTTCTTTTTGGAGTGGATTTTCTTGTTTTTGCCCTCTGTTTTAGAGCTTTTTTTTAATGTTTGTTTTTGCAAATAGCCTTTTGTATGGATTGCAATAAACATTATGCCAAGACAACAATGGTGTGGGTTTTATTGCAACTCCTAATTTTCGAGAACAGACAGCCGATTCCTGTACAAAACATTTTATAAAGCATTAATAGTTACCTGTTTGGTAGATTAGATACTGAATGTTGGCAGCTTGCAATTTGTTCAAATAATGGAATGTTTGTTTATTTATTATGTGCTTCATGCTTACTGTATTCCAAGCATTGTTGCAGTAGGATTGCAGCAAGCTTGTCCAATTCATCGTCTTTTCTGTGTGTGAGCCTGCGTTGCACACTAACAACCCCCGGCATGCTTCGCAGAATCAAAACATTCCCGAGTTCCTGCGGGGACTGCCATGCCGAGACTCGAAGAACTTTTCCAAGTTTTCTGCTGACAGCGGTCCGAAGTCGTCCGGCAAGAAGGCTCCAATCTACTTACCCACCACGGATCACCCATCGGAACAAGGTCAGAACCCTCACACTCGAGCCTCTCCCCTGCATACTGGGCTTACCTCTCGGCACCTCTCGTTACCTTTACTTACCTCTCGTTTGCCTGGCCTTTGAACGAAGCCGTGCTGTTCTGCAGTTGGTTGAACATTTTATTTTCCTCGGCTATCATAATAAAATCAAGCCCATCTGCAATAGTGCCCCCCAAAATTAAAATGATGTTAATGTGAATAGTTTAATCATTCCATTCTTGTAGAATGATTAGCTGGAAAATCAAATCACGTTCCCTACCAAAATACAACGGTAAAACTTTATGAAAATAAATATATGCTGGGAAATCTATTAAATCCGTACATATCGCATGATAAAAAAGGAAATATTCGAATACGGGCGTGCCTCGTGTCATGTTTGCGGTCTCCACCGACATGTTCTTCTCTCTGCTGGATCTGTCTACATGTGCATTGTGTGTATTATATAGCCGTGTTATTTTTCATTCGTCTGATGTCGGATAGTGCTGTCGAGATATCTGTCGCACGCGGCCCGTCAATGCCGTATCCGGCTAGAAGTTGACAGTCGCCAATGCCACTTACTACTGACAGTAGTTGTGCTGAGCGGCTGATGTATTCTGTGGAACTGAGCTTAGTTATAAATGTGATGCATCGCTACCCAGGAAGTGATGTGCAGCCAGTGCTCGTAATGTGTTTTACAGTTTTGACAATTATAGGTATGGAGTTGCTGAGTTGTCATCTGCCCAGTGCCCATTTTTTAAAAAATCAATTCTGCCTTAGGCCGGGATGACCATAATAGTTCAGCATATCATCCCACCTCCTTTATACTATCAGCAAATGCACACAGTTTCATTTTCAAATTAATTTCCAGGAGTGGCACGATCCTTAACTTTTTAGAAGCTCGGGTACTACTGACCTGATAACCCGACCTCGCGAGAAGCTTTTGACGGAAGATGTAAATTTTCCGATGACCTATGCCTTTTTTGCAGTACCATGTTTTTA